TCCTTGCCTTTTTTTTTTTAAAGATTTTATTGGGGAATTGGGGGAGGGGAACAGCGCTGGGGAATCAGGGGAAGGGGAATAGACAAGTTTCTGTCCTTTTATGTTCTTCAGTCTAGTTGTTCATCCTTGCTTTTTAATCATTCATTCACCACATATTCATTGTGGACTTCATCTGTATCAAGCTGTATGTTGGGAGTACAGGGGTATCACATGGTTCCTACACTCATGGAGCTTACTCTTGTGGGTGCTCCCTATAGCCCTGTAAAATTCTCAGAGTTAGGCTTCATTATCAGTATTTTACAAATCATTAGCAATTTTTCTTAACATAGCTGTTAAGCACATGTGCACTGAAGCTAAACCGCCTAAATTCAAATCTGGGCTCTGCTACTAACTAGTTATATATATCCAAGCAAGTCACTTCTTTGTACTTTAATGTCCCTAACTATGAAATGGGAAATGTATAGTATTTACCTCATAGAGTTGTTTTATTATTTAACTGAATTTATATGTGTGTGTGTGTGTGTGTGTATACACACACACACACACACACACACACACACATAGAGAGAGAGAGAACAGGCCTGGCCATGGTAAATGCTCAATAAACATTACCTATTACATTATTGTTCTATAAATATTCCCTGAGCACCAATTCTGTATCAGGCCCAAGCAAGGGCCTGGAGATACAGAGATAGAATGAGACAGGGTCTAAGACTGACTCCTAAACAGGCTGTTATAAAAAGTGAGAGGAATTGTGGTGTAAGGAGACCTAGGGGTTATAGGAGCATGGAGGGGACCCAACCCAGCCTGGGGGTCAGGGGACTTCCCAGAGGCCTGGGCTGTGCCCCCAGGTTGTGGCCTGTTGCATTTGAGTGACACTCTCCTATCCCCCAGAGATAGGGGCTAGGAAACATTGATGGGCTGCCATGAATATGCCTAGCTGTAAGAGAGGCCAAGAGATAACTTGTAGATTATAAAATCACTTAATCTGTAATAAGCCTACACATTTGGTTTTTGTGGTTTCAAATTTTCCTTTATAGTTATAAATGGTACAACATATCTCATGTGAAAAAAATGGATTACAGCTTGGATTTCTTTTGTTGTTGGGAGGGAACTAGTAAAAAGGGTTTTCAATAGGAATCTGGTTGAAAGCTTCCTAAACTTGGGTTCTCATTTGTTAGTTGAAAAATAAATACAGGTATTGAAAATAAACTAAATACCCAGTAGTAAGGGAAGAGTAACATGGATATATAATAAATAAATTGTGGTATATCTATAAAATTGAATATAACTATTAATGTATTTACAAGGATTTTTTTAATCGCATGAGAAATGCTTATGAAAGAATATGAAATGTAAAGGCAACAATAGCATTATCATGTAAAAAAGTCCATAGATAAAATGCTGGAAGAAAAGACACTTAAATGTTGACAATGGTTATTGCTAGTTGGTGGGATTATGAATGATTTCCTTTATTTTTTACACCTTTTTGGGTATTATCTAAATTTTCCAACATGAGAATGTATTGCTTTTTAAAAAAAAACAGATTTATGAAGATATAATTCCCATACCATTCAATCCAATCATTTAAAACACTTTGTGTACAATTTGTACTATTCAATGGTTTTTCTCCCATATTCACAGAGTTTGCAACCATTACCACAATTTAATTTTAGAATGCTCACCATCCCAAAAGAGACTACCACTCTCTCTCAGCCAACTACTATTAATAATTTACTTTGTATCTCTACAGATTTGCCTATTCTGGATGTTTTATATAAATGGACTAATACAATAATGCACCTTTTTGTGTTTGGCTTCTTTGGTGCAGCATAATGTTTTCGAGGTTCATCCATGTTGTATAATGCATCAGTATTTAATTTCCTTTTATTGTCAAACAATAGTCCATTGTATGAATATTCCACATTTTATGAATTCATTCATCAGATGATGGAATTTGGTTTGTTTCTACTCTTTGGCTATTATAAGTAATGCTGCATGGACATCCTTATACAATGTTTTTGTGGACATGTTTTCAAATCTTTTGGTATGTAACTAGGAGTAGAATTATTAGGTGATATGGTAACTTCATTTAGCATTTTGAGGAACTGCCAAACTGTTTCCCATAGTGGCTGCATCATTTTATATACCAGTAATGTATGAGGGTTCCAATTTCTCCGCATCTTTGTCAACACTTGTTATTATCTGTCTTTTTTATTATAGTGATTCTAGTGTGAAGTGGCAGCTCATTGTGGTTTTAATTTGCATTTCTCTAATGGCAAACATGAACAACTTTTCATGTGATTATTGGTCGTTGGCATATATTCCTTGAAGAAATGTCTGTTCAGGTGCTTTTCCCATTTTCTCATTGTGCTGTGTTTTTACTGAGTTGCAAGAGCTCTTTATATATTCCGAATACAAGTCTCATCAGATACATGATTTGCATTTTTCCCATTTTTGGGTTGTCTTTTCACTTTCTTGATGGTATCATTTGTAACCAAAAAGTTTTTAATTTTGATGAAGTCCAATTTACGTACTTTTAATTTTGTTGCCCATACTTTTGATATTTTATGTAAGAAACCATTGCCTAACCCAAGGTTACAAAGATTTACTTTTATGTAAACTTCTATGAGTTTTATAGTTTTAGCTCTTACATATAAGTCTATGATCTGTTTTGAGTTAAATCTGGTTTATTGTGGCAGGAAGGAGTCTAATTTCATTCTTTTGTATGTGGATATCCAGTTGTCCCAGCATCATTTGTTGAAAAGACAATTCTTTCCCTATTGAATAGTCTTGGCATCCTTGTTGAAAATCAATTGATCATAAATATAAGGGTTTATTTCTGAAGTCTTTTCTTAATTCTCCATTGATCTACATGTCTATCCTCATACCAGTACTACACTGTCTTGATTTGTGTAGCTTTTGTAGAAAGTGTTGAAATCGGGAAGTGAGTTCTCCAACTTTGTTCTTCTTTTTCAAGATAGTTTTGGCTATTCTGGGTCCCTTACATTTCCACGCATTGCTTTTATATTCAGAGGAAAAATTTTTTTTTTAGAAAGAGAAAGGAAGATAGACATTGCTCAAAGAACTGTGAAATCCACTTTGGGTTTTCTGAGTGATTTTATGCAGTGAATCTTTTCTCTTGGGAAGGGGAAGTTTTCTCTCCTAAATTTTGTCCTAGTCATAGGTTTCCCGCCCCCACTGTTGATGAACAATGTACAGGGTACAGATTTAGCTAAGGCTTCCTCTCCTGCCTTGAATCACTTGGCTGGGTCAGGGGTTCTTTCCACAAAGGGGCTCCCACAACCCTCTCATTTTTGGTTTACTCTTAGCAAAGCATGATCACGCTTTATTGTTATGGCCTCTACACTGTTTTCATTGCAATCTCATCAGCAAATCACTTTGAGTATGTATTTCTGCATACTCCTTTTGAGTATACAAATATATGTATATTTATTCATTTATAAAATATATACACATGATTGTTATATGTATTAAAACATAAATAAAAGAGAAATTTTAGAGGATGAGATGATTAGAAATAGAAAAACAATATTAGAAATAGAAGTTTTCCCACACCTCAGTGGCTTTTATTTATCTCTCTGGAGACTGACCTCTTGGATCCTTCCTTATTTACCTCTGTGTGTTCCCAACAGCCAGCCAAGGGATGGGCACATAACAGGCTCAATGTCTACTGTTAAAAAAAAATTTAGATATCCTACTATTTCTATTAAAACACACTGCCTCTATTACTAGGTTTTGGACCCTGTAAGGAAAGGTTCTACACCTATCCTCAGCTAAGGTCACTTTGTAGAGGCTGTGAGCTCCTCATCTCTCCTTGTTTTTTGTTTTTTTTTTTTACCTTTGATTACACCTTATCTGAATTAGTTCTTTAGAAAATAGCAATTGTATCATTTTCAACTATATTTTTCATTTCAAACTGCATGGTGAGGCAGGGTCTTGGGGTGCTAGGAACATAAAGAATAGAAAGCAAGCTTTCCAATCTGGATGTAGCATGGGAGGATGTGAACAAAGGGCAAGGGAGCTCTTAGGGGTGAGAATCTGGTAGGCTTCAGGAAACTGGGTTTTGAAGGGCCAGTGGGAGTTAGCCAAACGGTGAGCAGGAAGGCTGTCCTGGCTGAAGCCCAGGAGCAAAGGCAGGAAGGTGGAAGTGGACCCGCACATTCCAAACTAGGGAACAGTTTGGTGTAGCTGAATCCAAAGGGCAAAGGCAGTTGGCATTTATGTTTTAAAAAGATCCTTCCGCAGCTCTGTGGCGTATTAGGGTCTTGAGGAAGTAGGGAAGCTTGTTGGTTGCCTTGAGGGTAGGGCACAATTATAATTAGAGGTTAGAAACCTCTGGGCATGGAAGCCCAAACTGAAGCAGGTAAACTCTACTTTCATGCTCCTGCTGCATTCTCTTTTAGGATCTCAAAGCCCATTAATTTTTTTTGTCCAGTCTAGGGTTGTCCTTTCCCTTCGGTTTCCAAGAGACACTTAAACCTTTCACGGAAAATCAGTGTATTTCCGGGGAGTCCCGGGAGCTTGGGAGTGTTCTGTTTCTGGGCTTCTTTGAGGCCTGCGGCCACAGGAAAATACTAAGGTGCATTTCTGCACAGGTTTTATCAAGCCAGGGCTTGGTTGAAGGTTTCATCCCACCCCCGTCCCAATTAAATCAAACCACACACACAGATGGAGATTCAGACACATCCTGACGGTAAACCGCCTCCGGGATATCAGGAACCCTGAACTTACGGCCACGGGCGAGTCGAGGCAGGGCAGGCCGCCTAAGTCATAGCCGCCGGCCTTCCCGAATCACACCCCTTCCTGGGGAAGGAGGGTGCAGGGCAACCCCGGCGCCCTCGGGGTGGGTCCTGCGCGGGCGCGGCCGGGGCGGTGTCGTGACGCCGGTGGGCGGGGCCTCCTCTCTGGACTGTGTCGGTGACGGGTCCGGCCCCGCCCCTCGGGAAGGGAGGGCGGGGCGCCAGGCAAGCGCGCGAGCTGGGCCGGAGCCCGCCTGGCAGCCCCGCGGAGCCGAGCGGAGCGAGCGGAGCGCCTGGTTGGCGGCGGCTGCGCGCGCGATGGCTCCCGCCGCGGACCGCGAGGGCTACTGGGGCCGCACGACCTCCACGCTGGACTGGTGCGAGGAGAACTACGCGGTGACCTGGTACATCGCCGAGTTCTGTGAGTGCGGCTGCTGTCCCCAGGCCCCGGCCTGAGGCGGGCGGGAGGGGAAGAGGGCGCCGGGCTGAGGGGGAGACGCCTTGTGAGGTAGGGAGAAGGCGGACCTGGTCGCCAGGGAGGCAGCAGGCCCGGCCGCGGAGGGCGAAGCGGGAGCCCTGGCCGGGGGCAGGAATGGGAAAGTCGCAGATGAAGGAACCGGCTAGGGATCCGGTGTGTCGCTGAGGAGTGCCGGGGTCAGGGCGGGTTGGGCAGGCTTAAGATTGGGGGGCGGAAGAAGAGAAGTGGGGAGTCCCTGCTAGACCGAAGGGTGAGCCCGAGAGGCAGGGTTGGGAATGGGAGCTCCCATCGGGGGGGCGGAGTGGGGAACAGGCTGGTAGGTTGGGAGACTGGAGGACTCGCTCTTTAGAATGAGGGCCCAGGGCACCTGCTCCTACTGTTGCTGCCACCACCGTCGCCCTAAGGGCACAGGAGAGAAAGGAACAGATCTCCGCTTAATCAGCCCCCCTCCCCCATACGCGAAAACTCGAAGGTCTTCGCTTTCCTATTTCTCTGTTGGGATTAGACCTCTTCGGTCACCTCGAGGGATCGGTTTTCCCAGGCTCAGATCCCGACCCTCCCAGATGATTATTTCTGCCAGGCTAGGAGAGCACAGGAAAAATCGGCCTCTTCTTTTAGTATTGTTTACTTCGGTCAAGTGTTGAGAGCACAGTGTTTGATCCTCCTTCAGGTACCTGCTTCTGGCAAGGCACAGAGACTATTTTTTAGCTATTACATCCTTCTTTTCATTTGATCTACTTTCTCAGGGCATGAAGCAAACTCTTTTGAGCGAACCTTCCCATTGTTGTTGGGTCCTTCTCCCAGGCATGTGTGTTTGGCTTGTAGAGAGGCAAGGGTTTCACGCCAGCGGATTGTACTTAATTCTGATCCCAGGAATTGGCTAAGTTAAAGAAAGAAGACAGAACTCGTTGTTGTAATTTTCAAGACTTGAGCACCATTCTCTTTAAACCACGATTTAGACTGAGATTTTTCCTGATTACTAGTTTGAGTTTATAATGAAAATGTCCATGACTTTTCGTGAACTGCTAGTTTTCATTAATAATTTTTACTTAATAGTGGAAGAAGATGGGCAAGGAGATCGTTTGTAGTGTCATTAATGGGCAGCCTACATGTTGGCAAAGGCAGCACTTTACCAATTTGTTGTTAGATCACGTGGGCAAGCCCATACCTGGTCCAGAGGAGGTCTGTGAGGGAAGGGACTTAAAACCATGCTTTCTGAAGAAAAAAATTATATAAGTAAATACTGACAAATAGGAAAGATAAAGCAACATACATCGTAAACAAAAAAGTTATAGCATTTTAAAACAACAAAAACCATGCTTTCTGAATGGGCTATGTGTGTCATGGAAAAGAAACTCAAGGATCTTTACATGTTGGATGGGCTGTCATACAGAGCATTAAACTTTCTGTAATTCCCTAAAACGTGGAATTAGTGCCTTTAGGTGGAAACTAAGGGGAGAGTCTTTGCTTCAACATAAGGAAACTTTTTATATAAAAGTATAGCCTTGGAATGGGTTGACTTGAGAGAGGGAGAGGACTGTCTGTCACTGAAAGTGTTGAAATAGACATAGCTCAACTAACCCACATGAACCTTGTAGGTGGAATTATTGGTTAGTAGAGAAAAGGGGTTGGCTTTAGTTGGCCTTTAGGTTCTTTGTAGCTTTAGGGGTTAATATATGTAATAATGATTTGTAGCTTAGAACCAAGGATTAGAATCAAGAGAGAAAACTGACAGTTAAGTCATGTGAGCTATGAGAAAGCAAGATACTACTGTGCTGGCGGATAGCCCTGAAAAATGGGAAATGGCTTTAGTTCTTACCCTCCTCAGAAGAGGAAATTCTGAGCCGGCTGCAAGGAGGGTTTTGACATAGGAATCAAGGGGTTGCAAGAAGAGGATGAGTGAATGTTGGCTGCCCTTTGTACACGTTCCTTGGGAGAAGATGAGCTGGAGGAAGTTGTGGTCAAGTTTTCTTACCTAGCAAGTGGTGGGTATCTATCATATCTTGGAGTAAGAATTTGATCTTTGAAAAATATGCTGATTAAGAATGATGTGTTTAAAACAAATGTAATTTTTTCATCATTCTTAATAATAGAAATATTAAGGATAATAATAATGATAATAGGTATACCTAAGTGCTTACTATGTATCACACTTTTCTAAGCACTTCATATATCTTATCTCTTTTGATCTTTACCATAATCCCAAAAAGAAGTTGTTATTATCCTTATTTCACAGATTAGGAAATTGAAGTTCTAGAAGTAACTTATCTAAGGCTGCAAAAAGTTGTGTGGAGGTAGTATTTAAGTTGAGGTCTGACTCTAGAGCTACTGTACCATATTAACTTCTGTCACATTTCATTGTTTTGTCCTTACATGCAAGGGTGAGGACAAGCATGAAATAGTATGCTATCAGAAAGGACAAATTGAATAACTGTTCAGGAAGCTTATCTTTCAGCATTAGGGTGTGTGTAGTTTGGGTAACATAAAGACAAGTTTGGGGAATTGCGTGTTCAGATATGGCAATGGTTCTTGGCCCAAAGCTACTACTAACGTTACCGAAGATCAATTTTCTTTTCTGTTTGAGCAGATTATATGGACCAGGGTAAAGAGTAGACAGTTTCTCTTTAGTTGAAAATAATAAGCACCGTGATGTACCAGAAGTTATAGATACAGGCAGTCCTCACTTTGCATCATAGTGTGGGACAACACAAATGACCACAGAAGTTAAATGGGAAAAGTTTCCATTGTTCTGTGACCTTTAAAATTTTTCATCAAACATTGTAAACCCTCTTATTGTTGGTTATAAATACAGAGGGTGCCAAAAAAATGCATACACATTTTAAGAAAGGAAAACTGTATTAAAATTGTAATACTCAATATATGAGTATACTGATAATAAAAGATGAATACAAGTCACATTTGACTTCTGCAATTACAAGAGGTCCTCAAAGTGGTTACCGTCAGCATCCAGTTACTTCTGATTATGGCAAACTACTGTTCGAGTAACGTTGACCAAAGTGCCCACTTGTATACATTTTTTTTGGCATCCCCGGTATATAGAGAAATGAAAAAAATAGTAAAGCTAATATTTATTTAGTGCACTGTAATTTAAAACATTAAAAACATTGAGAATTAAAATGTTTATTTCTTCCTAAAAGAACCTATGAAGAGTAGTTTGAACAGTGCTTGCTTTCTTGTCTTATAACTTGGAATGGGTATTTTTTCTATGCCTTGGTGAATTGTCATACTCCTTTCTAAGTTTGGATCAGCTTCCAACATTTTAGTCTTTGCACTTTCAATATTGTGAAATATCTTTGAGAGTTCCTTTAATTCAAAGCTTTTTGCTGATGTCACTTCTTCTGGTTCATTTTCATGCTTTTCTCACAACCACTTTCATTTGTGTCGATAAGTTTGCCTTCACTAAGTTCCTCTAGCTGCAAGAGGCAACCTCATTCTGAGGGGGTAACCTGGCAGCAGGGTCACCATTGTCATGGTCAGCTATTTCGTCTATCACTCCATTTATGTATGATTGGAATTTCACTTCCAACATTGTCACTTTTTGTTTTCTGCTGTACTTGCATCGTTTGCCTGTACCCTCTTTTGACTATTTATTTTTGTAAAATGTCACAGAAGTTCATCACCAGGAGACAAGGAGTCAACCCAACTACACACTTTGTTATCTGTATATGAACTAAATAACAGATGTGCAGTGACTAATCACCAACAGACTTTGCCATGATGTTTTATCCATAGTTAGAAATTTAGGCAGAGAGATACTTTTCTCTCAGCACTTTGAAAATATTATTCCATTGTGTCTTAGCTTTTATTTTTGCTGATGAGAAGCCTTCCAACAGCCTAATTGTTGTTCTTTTGTAATTTATTTTGTCAAATCCACCAACAGACTTTGAAAGAAGTGACTTTGTTAATCACTATTATTTACATAGTGATTAGCAAAGTTTGTAGTAATACATTTAATTACAGTTAATATACTGTGATAACTGAAATTTAAATTGCCTTGTTGGGAGACTGGTGTTATTTACTAAACTGTGGTAGCTGGAATTTGTGCCTATTAGAACCTTACAAAGTGAAGACTGTATTTTCTAATCCTCAGAACATTCCTAGTAAGTAGGTGGTGTTATTCCCATTTTATAGATGAAGACACCGAGTCTTAGAGAAGTTAAGTAACCTGCTGAGCATCATACAGCTATTGAGTGGCAGAAATGGTATTGAAATATAGGTCTGACAGCTCTTTCTACAAAGACATACTGTCTACAGGAAGTGGAATTCCAGATGCTGTTGGTTCATGGAAGAAATATTACCTAAAGGGAAGTGGAAGGGAATTCTATACTTTAATTATGGGCTTAGGGAAGAATTACCCAATTAAATATTTTTCACTTTTTTTTGTTTTTTTTATTCAGCAAATACTTACTGAACATCTTTTTTGTCATTGACTCAGAATACAAAACTATGTGAAGTCTGTCTGTCTGTTCAAGGTAGTGAACAGGCAAGTAGGGATATGAATAGATAAGTTCAAGCAGGCATTTCCTACTTTTAAGGGAAATGCATTCCCAAAAATGTATTTGAAAGGCAAATGTCTAAGAATTGACATATTATGAAAGAGGGTTTATTTATCAGAAAGCTAAAAAATATTTTTAAATTTCTAATTATGGGTTTTATAGGGGCTACCTCAGTCTGAGGGGGTAACCTAGTTAGTAAAACATTTATGGATGGGGAGAATGGATGGTAACTTCTGGTAGGATCATTTAGCCATCTCCCTTTTGTCCTTGGGCTAGTAGGATGTTTCAGGCTAGGCAGGTGTTGTCCCTTCTCACTAGTTTGCTGCCCCCTTCCCATCCTATTCACAGGAATTGGGCAGAAGGAAAGTAGGGCAATCCTCATTCTATAGACCTTTGGTATGGGATTCACTTCCATGGGGTCTTTCT